AACTGTTTCTTCTCCGTATGTAATCTTTTACAGTGTAGATACATTTTATGTAAAAAAGTATGAAAACTTATGTGAGCAAAGTGTCGGTGCCAGCTCAGCTGGCACCCAGCTGGCACGGTGCCAGCTAATTTAGAAAAAAGTTAGGCACAGCTTTCATTCACATAAGTTTTCATAAATTTTTGGCCCGTAGTTCCGGTCCGCCAACGCGCATGCACACACCAAATTTGGTGTCATACTATTGCGTTTTGGCTGAAAACAACGCCTTTGTTTGTTGATGGACAGCTTGCCAATGGCATGCCGGTGGCATGCCGGCGGCATTTTTGCGGCAGTTCTCCGCCTCGGCCCCTGTAGAAACGATATCCCCTTTGCTTTCCGCGCTAAAAACGATATCCAGCTTGACACGGTGCCAGCTGTGCTGAGCCCTGGATATGACGCTTCCCCTCTCAGATCCCCTCCCCTCCCCGTGGGGATGTACGTGCATACGGGAATTAGATGCTTTGCAACTCTGTAATTATAAAAAAACAATACTTTTGCTTCTCGGCTGCATATCAACTCAAGGAAAAATTTTTCCTATGGATATGTTTTACGGCAAAATAATCAATGCTCCTCATCTAAGGGACCCGTCATACGCCGAAAAAACCCAAAAGCATTCAAAGAAGCCCGAAAAAGTCCAAAAATGCCCGAAAAAGCTCAAATAGCCCAAAATAGCCCGAAAGGGCCGGAATGCAGAAGCGAACTTTTGGTAGAATTCTGACATTATTTTGATGTGCAGATGATAGAAAATGAAGCAAAAAAAAACTAGGTTGCGAAATCAACACCACGCCTTAGCGTCAAAATAGAAGGGGCGTTCCGGCTTTTTCTGGCTTTTTCGGGCTTTTTTGGAAATTTTCGGGCTCTTTTGGGCTTTTTTCGGCGAAGTATGACGGGTCGCTAACATACTAAACAACTACAGACTGTAAAAGTTAAAGCTTTTTGAACCTGGTTGACATCACCGAGGTGTCAACCATCCTGGGGGGAAGAGAGGAGGGGGAGGGCGATCAATAAAGCACATCATTACTTTCTATTTCCACATTAGCAATGAATTTGATTGTAAAAAATATTTGAGAATTCCAGACATGCTTCTGGGCGAAAGTATTGTTTCAAAGTATTTTCACCATACTGGCAGTTGAAACAATGTTGGAAACTATGAAGAATGAAAGGGTGAAGTACGATCTTGAGTTGTTTTAAGGGTTGTTTATCAGAAAAAATTCGCTGTAGGGAAATCACAGAAAATGTACGACTTACCAATAAGAGAAGAACAGCTGATGAGAAACAACGCATGGTCGCAAACACAGACTCAAACACCAACTTACTTGCTCAAAATAATAACGTCCTAACTGCACTACTGATGATAACCTGTTCTTATCATTCATCAAATGTTACCGCAATGCTGTTTTGCTGGTAACACAGATGATTAGAACAGCTTGCGATGTTGTTTATTGCTATGAACTTTGCGCAAGGTGTTCAGGGCATTTTGCTAATTCGTCCATGCTAAAAGTTTCCGAAAGCGATAACAATCTTTCTGAATGGGTATTTCGTCTGCAGTGATGTTTCACAATCTCCCGACCTCTTATTGGGCGCCTCATCGTTATAGACGAGCTCCCGATCGGGCGGTGAACGCTTGCTTTCACGTGAAATTGTCGAATCAATTCGAACGATTGAGTGCCCTTACCTTTGTCGTTTCTCTTCCTTATCCTGATTTTATCGGTTAAATTATATAAACCTAAAGAAAAATTGATATTTACCAAATATCTCCTTTTAAGGTTTCTTAAGAACCATGGTCGAATGCTCTGGCGTTGGAGTTTTCGAAAGCAAACATGAATATTTTTTCATAATTCCTTCAGCGAATAGTCACGAGGGTTTGCATTGAACAGGAGCTTTCCTATTTTGAATTGAATTACCCTGAAGAAAGAGGCGAATGAATTGTGAATGTACCCTTTGATTCAACGAGATTGGCGGCTGGAAGGGGACCGCTCGCGTCCGCGAAGCAGTCTGCGTCTCTTTCGTGAACGTGCTCTTTGTTCATCCCTGTTTATGAATTCGTACCCTGCAAAATCGCGAACTCTTGTCTTCATTCAAAATCCACAACTTGTTCTTTCATTCTTATCCTCCCTCGCCTCGCTGTATTTGCCTTTGAAAGATTATTGAATCCTTGCCTAGTCCCAAAAGTATTTTTGCTTTTTTGAGCAGGTTTCTGCGGAACAAAGTTTTATAGAAACTGTTGCATTCACTTTTTTATGGTCTTTTAATCCCCATAGTGCGGTTCAACAAATGAGCTCTCAAAAAATTGGTAAAAAATTTGTCCCATGGTTGCTATGGTCAAGTTTCGCTATTTTTTTCCAATTTCTTGTACAGGAGAAAGCAAATAGAGCAAACACCCTCAAGCAACAGCAAACGAATAGAGAACAAATTTTTCTCCATAGCACTTTCGAAAATTTTCGAAATTATTTTGCTATCAAATTCCATACATGGTCAGCTTAAACCTCATAGGACATCAACTGGCATCCTCTGTACCGCAAAATATGGCGCTCGTTCAAAGAAAACGGATTTACTTCCCGGGAAGAACTAATACAATAAGTACGATACTAATAATAGACCTGAGATCGCATAACTAGAGCGTCTCAAGCACCGTCGCAAAGGCGAAAAATAATACCTCTTCTCAAGGTTCAGCAGTCTTCACAAAAATCATAATGCCGTCTGGGACAGGCGTGTTAATGTGATTGGTGTCGTACAAAATTTCAATAATGGCTTCGGGCATATGGGGAGAAAGGGGGAGAGAGGGATCACTGCGAAAAACTGCGCTTATAAAGAATTTCAAAAAAAATTGAAAGATCGTGAGACGAGATTTTCTTGGACGCTTGTTTGATACTCAACTTTGTACAAGGTTGTGAAGCATTTTGAACAGTGTAGTCAAATTTTCTAAGAACACTGAAAAGCGGCTGCTACTGCTTACCTGGCAAAAGTTTTTAACGAAGCATTATGATGCAATTTTCATATTCAGAATCAACAGCTCTGACCGACCTAGAACGAGGGTTTTCAAGTCGTTTTGTCTCCTTTCTGATGCAAAACAGGCTTTTTCATGATTCAATACTCTCTTCAAAGTGCCTACCGTAATCCCACAGTAATTAAGAGACAGGTGATTCGTTTATGATATGAATTTAAGTGAAGCCGGCTCTATAAAATTGTACCCGAGGCCTCTCAAAGAGCTCATGACAAGTGAGTTGCTAACGATCAAACGTTCGATACATCTTTTTGACACACCCTGTATATTTTTAATTTGGTACCAAAAAATTGGCCCATTTCAGATTTTCTGGAACTTTAGAATACCGTTTGCAGAAAAAAATGTTTTTGAAATTCATGTTTGCCACTGCTAAATGGAAGCAAAAATGTTGTTGGATAAAAAACAAATCAGGCTTCTTGCCATTACTGTTTCATGCGTATCTCAGACTTACCCAAAGTTTGACCACAGTTAGTATATTAGAATGAAAGAATAATCAATTTAGAGGTTTATCAGAATTCAAAAAGATAAAAACCTCATCTAGCCGCTACATGGAAGTATCATTTATTTCCAGAAACACCGTACATGCAGGGCTTAACAAAGCAGTGTCGCTTGCAAGCATCTCCACTCCCGCGCTGGACTCTGCATCTTTTCCGCGAACATGCTCTCTGACCACTTTCCTATGGCGAGCGTGGGAAAGGCGGAGCCTCAATCGATTGAAAGTGACTAGAGAGCATGTTCGCGGAAGAAACGCAGAATCCAGCGCGGGAGTGGAGATGCTGATGCAAGCGACACTGTGTATGATAGGCCCTGTATGCAATAAATAAGTGTTGCACTGTAATTTTGCCCTCGATATAGAGCAACAGCGAAGCTGTTCTGCAACACATCAGCCTACGAAACAAATTGAATAAGGTATTTTACGATAGGTATTTTCCTCGTGCTGAGTAACTATATGGACGATGGCATGAGCCACCCGCCAGGTGGCTACTACCGTACGCGGTACGCCAAACGCTCGCACCCCAATCCTGGGAAGCATTGCACTAATAGAAAGGCCCTCTCTTATATGTCATTTATGCTTCTATCATTGCTGCATTTCAGAGTTCAAAAATTAACTTAAAGGCAGCGTCCAGGCAGATCTGGACCTATGAGGATAACACATGGAAAGTAATTTTGAGTCCCTAACTAAGGCACTGCCCAAGCGGCAGCGAAGGTAACTCACTAACGACTGAGATATACGCCTCCAAACTGGGCTCCAGATTCATACTCGCATGGATTCATGGCAGTTTCGCGCCAGGACCCACGCGTTGCGCCATGAATCCATGCAAAATACGATCCTGCATGGGGAATATCTCAGCTGTTAGAGCACTACCTGAGCTGCCGGTTGGGCAGTGGCTTAGTTAGGGCCCCAAAATTAATATCTACGTGAGATTCCATGTATACAGACTTGCCTTTAAATTAAATATTTCACACGCCGCTCGTTTTTGATTTAAGTGTTTTTTATCTAGGATCTCTATATAATAAAGTGCAACGTATGGTCCACCGTATGTGGTTCTCGCCGCGTGCAAAACCTCCCCCCCCCCGCAGTTTGTACCTGGTGCAATACATTATGTCATCACAAGTGCTTTGTGGACTTTAAGCTACCAGGCTGAGCGTTGGCGCAGGGGGTAAGTGAGCATGCTGATTACGAATGCAAAATCAGTCATCAGAATTATTAATTACCTTTGTCGACCACACTGATTTTTTTTGCAAACTTCAAGCTACGATGGGAGTTTGTCCACGTTTGCCAAATCAGGGCTTCAGAAACTTCATAGCCGCCAATCAGCGCCAATGAAAGGCTCGATAACAATTGAGATTTTTCTTGGTAATTTGTATGCTAGGTACTAACCAGCGCTCTTTAGATAAAACTTTGCACACGCAAAAATTTATTGCTATTTTCGTTATGAAAATCGAAACTTTTACACACATACTACACAAGATTTGATGAATCACAATAACAAAGTCTTTATTGGAACTTTCAAAAGTTGTCTACTCTCTTCTTGGGAAATCCAGCCTTTCTTTTACCTTGCAGATGGCTACATTCCGAGTCACATTTGAGTCGTTTGAGCCATTCGGGAGGGTGGTACCCATTGTATCCAAGTTGCTGATCATTAATATTTAAATAAGGCACACACTATTCGGAAATTTAGGCTGTGCAGTTAATTATAACATCTTGGTCTCAGAAGGATAGCATTTCCAGAGAAGTCACTTTGTATAATGGATAGAAACTACTTCGCTTTCTTTTTCAGAATCTCAGCTTCATGTAATTTCACGGGAGGAACTCCAATTCATATACAATACCGCTCATAATTCGCCAAAAAGCCAAAACCCCACAGGATTTCTCCGAAGTTTGCGTCGCATGTCCATATCTTGTTTTAGAGTAGACGGATTCTGAATTAGAAGCATCATTCGACTCAGTCCGACAACCTCTCCTCTCCTATACATGTTTGGGTACCTTAAGTTCACGAACCAAATCATTCACGCATCGTTTTTTTTTGCTCACGGTAGCTTACTCAGTATGCTTATTCGGTATACGCTGAACAACCTACCGAAGGCAAAAATCTACAAAATCTGACCGCCACTGGGCACTTTTATAAATCAAAATGTGCGCCTGACCAACCTGAGTCGGTTCCCTTTAGATTTAGGATCTTTCACTAAAAACCAAAACATGGCGATGCTACGCGGATTTCGGTGAACTCCAATGGGTTCAGTGACTTCTTTGACAAATTATGAGCGGTAATGTGCCTTTGCCGACGTTGCAAAAATGAACAAAATAAGACTACCATTACTGATATTTTCACCTGTAGAAGAATGAAAATAGATTTGTTACTAAACTAACTAGCTTTTCTCTTTGCAAAAAACTACTCTGCTTTGTTTTCATAAAAGTTAAAAGTTGGAAAGTAAATAGAATAAGGAAGGCAAGTAGAATGATGCTCACCTTTTCCAACTTTGCTTCCTCAATGCGGCAGCAAGCCTTGTAAGTCGGATTCCGTTTGGCCGCAATAGCAAGGGAAAAAAGAATGGGAAGAATGAATACTGAGCGGTTCATCTTTGTACCCGCATGCGCAATCGCTTTCTTTTATACCGTTAGTTACATATTCAGTTTCAAATAAATAATCAAGTATTTTGCATATTGCTTGGATTATAGCGAATCACTGTCAACACAGCGCTGCACATTGCCGTGATGGAAAGCGATCAGAATTGAAGAGCATAAGTTCCTTCGAAAAGCATTGGTTCAATTCCTTCACGATAGAGGAGGACTAACGCTTAAAAAGGTATGTGAAATATTCCAGGCGTAGAGATTGAAAAAAAAAACACGTGTTGCACTTCTGTTATCAGAATTTAAAGATCCTTTGAAATCTGCAACCATATTTGATAATTAAGACACAGTACTAGTATATGTTTCCTTTATTCTTCAAAACACCAAACTAATCAAGCACAACAGAGTCAATCTTTTTCAAAATAAAGAAACGTGATATGAATTACCAGTGCGTCACCTCTGCTTCGCAGAGGCTCCACTAGTTCTACTATCCACGTGCCATCCTCGAAGTCGTAAAATAATGCCTTTGAAACTTACCGCGCGATGCCGATCATCAGGCATGAATTGTAAACAACTACTCATTTCAGAAGCTTCTTTATATACGATGACTTTGAAGGAAGTATTCTCTAAAACACTAACTGCGGGCGTGAGTCACTTACTAGTTAGTTATAATAGCTTGATAGTCGCTATAAGGATGATGACAACCGTGAGCTACATCTCGAAGCATCGAAGCAAAAAACTCCTTGAATTGAACTCGTAGGTAAAACTTTGACAAATCGACTGTCTACGCGATTATTCCTTCTCGGCACCGATCTTTGCTCATTTATCGGGCCAGAGCCTATGGTTTGCGGAGTTACTTGTTAGATAAATCCACGATTTTGGAATAAGTCCAACTACAGGCCTACTTTACAGGCCTTTTCTAGGGCCAGGAGTCGTGTAGATGTGCTTGGCGCACAGTTTTATGTTCCGCTTATCGGATCGGCATGTGATTTTGCGCACTTTCCCTACATGCTAATAGGGTGCTACTACCAAAATTCTGACTCAAGGGCTTTACTGGAACTCGCTCTACGAATTTCTTGACGGCCAGAAATTCACACACACACACACACACACACACACACACACACACACACACACACACACACACACACACACACACACACACACACACACACACACACACACACACACACACACACACACACACACACACACACACACACACACACACACACACACACACACACACACACACACACACACACACACACACACACACACACACACACACACACACACACACACACACACACACACACACACACACACACACACACACACACACACACACACACACACACACACACACACACACACACACACACACACACACACACACACACACACACACACACACACACACGCAAACGTAAACAACCCTCAACCCGTTTCATTTATGAATTAGGGAGAGAGTTAAAAACCATGTTTTGTATATACTGGAATGGGACTTACCCAAAGGTAGCTATCGCGGTTGTGTTTATCTCACCCTAAATTGAATTGATAAACATTTCTTGCATCGAAATCCTTGCAAAACGTAACAATTTTATTTCGCGTGCGTTCTTCTTGAAACGTGATATGTTTCAGAGGCGAAGAGTTATGTGCTTTTCATTGGTGCTTGGGCTGAAACAATTGTTGTCATATGGCGGCGATGAAAACTGATAGAGGCAAACCAAACTGTGGTTTCTAGATCGTTCGTTGAATGCGCTAAAATGCCCAATTGAATCCGGTTTTATTTTTGGTCTTGCTTATATGGCCTATCTTTCATAGGGAAAATCGATTACCACAAAATCGCTCAGACCGGATTTGTTCAATGAACCAGCTTCCAATGAGAATCCGCTAGTATTAGGTCGTTGTCCTATTGAAAGACGAGTCCATCCTTTTTCAAAGTCTATGATCTCATCGCAGTTTAACTAAAGAGCTCCCAAAAAATAACGCAAGACTACGACTTTTGGTTATTGCCATTTTCAATTTTCGCATATTTTCTGATTTCTTATACCGACCCTTCGGAGAAGTCCAAGTAAGGGATGGGTGGGGAACTCCACAGATTGAAAAACTATAAGTTTCTCCTTTTCATATCTTATCATATGTTTTGGTTTCCATAAAAACTACCGCTTAAGCAGGCCTACGTCAGACACAAACGTATCAAACACCAAGAAATTTTCGAATGGAGCTTCAGTCAAGAAATTTCATTTAACGCTATTTTTACAAAGCAACTAGAGTTTAAAACCTTAAATATTTGATTGCGAAAGTTTTCGCTACAGCTTTTCAAAAAGTGAATTATGACGGTTTTATTGAAGACTTTAGAAATCAGAAATAGAGTAACACCCACTAGAAAAAGGAGAGAAAGCTGCACTGAATAGCAGACAAATTACTAGCAGGTTGAAGTTTTTTTTTTTGAGTTGTAAGTTGAAATGTGAAATTGGTTGCAACAGAAGAACTCTTTGGAAAAATTGCGACTGGTTATGGAAAGGATATCGAATTGTTTGGTATCTGTGAGGTTTACTCTATCTACAAATTATGTCCCCCCCCTCCCCTCCTGCCTTGGCGATCGCTGACTACAATGTCCTTGCACAGCTTTCCGGTGTGGGAATTTTTGTAGTTATTTGCGACATGTAAGGCTGTTTTGTAAACTCAAAACAAACATTTTCTTGGACGGGGCAGTTTACAGGTCTCAAGAGTCTCGTGGATCGCCCTAAGTGCATAAGGGAAAAGCTGAACCTTTGATTTTGGGGTGGACGGTGCCTTTAACCTTTGATTCAACTGGATTGGGCGGCTGGAAGGCGGATCTCTATGGCCTAATCAAGGGCGGCTCGTGTCCGCGACGCAGTCTGCGTCTCTCTGAAATTTTCTTAGCGCTTACATGAGGCAGTGGAGTGTGAATTGATTTATCAAACAACACCTTTTGCATAAAGCGCTCTTATAATTAATTATCACTGTTCCATTTAAGAGCTACAAAAACGTTACGTCTATTTTTATACTGCTTACACAGTCAATTTTTTTCCTCTTATAAACTATCATAACTCCTCGCGCAGGAATGCTCTGCAGATAAGGAAGACAGAAGTTGAATCAGCGTTTTGTGCCCAAAATAGTTCACATCCCATCTCAAATGGCCACTAATGACCATCTTCTTAGATTGACAGCACCGAATGACCGAGCCTTCATTGCTGTTAGATTATGGTAGAGACTATGAAGGTTATCTAGCTAGCTGTTTTGAGCCATATTTCGCCTTAGATGGCCAACAGTTATTCAGAATCTTTCCCTCTGGGCTAAATTCGACTCACTGAGCATAAATATGCAATCTGCATTCAAAGATACTATGTCAGGTGCAGCGAAATAAGTATTTTCTCAAAGATCCCTAAAATGCTGACACACCATTCAGAGGTTTGAGAAACTCATGGAAAGATGACCAAATGGATATGCGTGCTTACCCTGCTTTTAACTTTTCAAAATTTTCACAAAATCTGTGGAACCATTTACAGTTCACAAAAACACTGCACGCTGAAAATCTATGCCGTAATCATACAGTAGAGAAAAGCAATGAGTGACTTGTTCCATGCTGTAGATTTGCCCTTTAATCAACTGGATTGGCGGCTGGAAAGCGGAGCTTCGTGATCTAATTAGGGCTTGAGAATGGTCAGAGAGCTTGCGCGCGAGAGAGACGCAGACTGCGTCGCGGACACGAGCCGCCTTGATTAGGCCATAGAGATCCGCCTTCCAGCCGCCAATCCAGTTGAATCAAAGGTTAAAGGCACCGTCCACCCAAATCAAATTGGGGTTGGTGAGATTATGATACCTAGCAGATGCGGGGCCCCCAACTGTATGACTGCCCAACTCGCGCTGCCTGAAGTTGCTTCCGAACCGAGAAAATTGCTTCGGAAATCGCCGCAGGCCGCGTTCGCGACGCTGGCTCCTCCCCTTTCGGAGTGGGCGTGACGTCGTCCCGCCCATCCGTGCGCGCCCAACCAATCATCGTACCGAAGAAATCGCTCTGCGGGTTCTGAAAAAAGTTTTTCGTGGTTTTCGCGGATTTTCAACTTGATGCTCGGCATCAGGGGTATGAGAAGGCCCTGGAACGGCAAAAACATGGAGGTCGAATTTTTGGGTGGCGGTGCCTTTAAGGTGGAGCCAGCTTTACTGAATAGTACCCAATATTCGCCAAAAGACTTTGTGGGAGGAGAGAAATACGGTTATATAGTCATACATATTTCCGGACACTGTATACTTCGCGCGTAGATGCATATATAATACAGACATCCATATATACAAATTCACAAGAACGTCTCGTCCAGATGAGAGTGGAAAGATAGCCCATCGTGAGCATGTTAATCGAAAAATCTTAAGTTTAATGAGTTAAATGGCACGAAACTCTAACAAGATTTTATTGAGGGGAAATTCCTTAGAATTCACAATCTTATTTTCAAGCTGTAGCAGATGGATTAAAACTTGTGATGTCTAATATTTGCACGACCTCTTACATTCTTCTTCTGTTCGGTAGACGCGATATTTTAGTATCCCCCACACACGTTTTACAGCGCCATCAAATGTGTCGTGCGTATAACTGTAAAAACATTTCCCATAAGCACAAGTCCAGAACCAGGTCCTGAAACGAAATGCTACTGTAGCATGCCATGAATGGGTCGTTTTGAAAATAAATTCGCTTTTATTGACGCCACATCCCGCAGAAGAACCATACTCAAAAGATTTTTAGCTTTCAATGCAGTTTTTTTTAATTTCTTTTGAACGGTTATTCACTGCACTCTTTCTGACGAGCTTTTAGCAAATCACATCAATTTGCGGCGTATGAATTTTGCCATAATCAAGTTTCTAGTTTTATTCTTTCTCAGTTTTTCATACGCGCTAGCATTTAAATACCGTTGTATATAAAAAGTCTGTAATAATGTTATCAGATTTTTTGCCAGTTCTTAGTGATTTTGCAAAAATTTCATTAAAGAGTAGTAGGC